ATTGCCATATTTGATCATGCAGAGGGTACGTGGTTTTCTTTTTCATTGGGAGGTATCCTGGTGGTTTAAGGGACACGTGTTGGGATGCTTGGGAAAAACATGTTTATTAAAACTCATGGTTTGCCCTTTGCGGTTTGACCATTAGTGATGTTGAGATGATCCTCTTGCTATATCAGTGGAGCGTCTTGGAGAGTCGTTGGGAAAACTGCTGGTCATTTGCGAGCTTCACCGAACATCATGGATGATAACTGATCCCTGAAATCCGGGTCAATGCTATAAAATCAAGGTATGCCCCTAAAATGAGAGAGAGAGAGAGAAAGAGGAAGAGAAAGATAACAAAAAAAAACAGAAACATGTGTTTTGATATGGGTTTGTGCATGTAATAGCTCTATTCATATTTTTTATGCATGGCGATCAATCATCATTTTTTTGGGGGCCTTATTTCCAGTGCTGCCGCAAGGTCATGGGCAATGAAATCACAGACGAAGGCGCGCCACAGAAAGTGGAATCAGATGGCGGATCGTCCCAAGATTGATTATACCCATATACATCCATTATTATCAATATATATATATATATATCTTTTAAAATCCATGTGACCATTAAAACCATGTCATACCATCCCCTATAACCACCAATCAACACACACAACGAATGGCTATAGATTTCATATTTGTTGATTGATGGTTGATGGTTGATGTATTATCATCCATATGGGTATATAATCTATATTGTTATAAGAACACATATATATATATATATATCTCTCTCTCTCTAATAGGCTCATGACGGTGGATTCCCCTATGTTTTGGATAGATGACGATGCCTGAGAAAAAAAACCATGACCTCGCCGTTAAGTCACCACTTTGGGTGCTTAAATCACCAAATTGGCAGCCTCCTACAGCAGGTTTGCTGTGCATCGAGAAGCCCATGCTGATGGGACGGTCGCTCAGCTGTCCCTAGACTGCTTCTGTTAAGGATAAAATGAATCAGGATGAATCATTTTCAATATGTTGTTATTGATCAATCCATGTTAATCACCACGTGTGAATTGTGGATTCATCCCTATTAAACAACATCAAACAACATAAAACATCATATTAATAGGATGAATCCACATGCTGTTTGGTGTTTTATGTTGTTAAAAATTGGATTTAACCATGTGGATCATCGTAGACGATGACCTCACGTCGTGACGTCTTTCTGGAATGGCCAGCAAAAAAAAGGGGAATCATCTCCAAATAGCTTCGAAATGCCTTTGCTTCAGCTATTTTCAGGTCAGTGAATTATGATAATTCAGCCATATATGTATATGTATGTATATAATAATATGATAATTATAATACTGGACTATTGGATTCTAACGTTTGACTTAATAGACACTGTATAAATGTACTGGTAGTAATATTGTACCATGAAAAATATCCGGTTAAATGTATATGTATATAAATATATATATATATATGAACTGGTGAAATTTGTATTGGAGTTATTGGTATCATACCCTGGAGGTCAAAAACGATTAACGTTTTTTGATAAACCCAACCCAAGTACCTTTTGAGGCAGCATATATATATATATATATATATATGGGCCGGGGGAGTTACGCACCTTCTGGGGCACCTTCGGAAGGACGTGCAGCCATGCTTGGTAAATGTTTGGTCACAGTATTCAGTTCAATTCCGATTCCCACTAAAATACCATTATATAGATCCCAATAAATCCAATGTAAATCTTACAAAATCCCATTAAATCCCCATTATATGATATAAATCCCATCAAATGACAATTTTTGCTTGTCAAATCCAGTGAAATCCACCCTTTTTCCCATGGTAAGTTCCTTATTAGCGCGCTGTTTTTGCCAAGGCTTCACGGGCTGCAGAGCTTTGGGGTGGGCAACGGTGTCACCGATCGAGGTAGGGTTGTGGAAGGACTCTTTTTGTTGAAAATGGGGGTATGCCGCATATGCCCCCACATGATTGTTTAAATCGGAAAAGTGATGATCAATCATCAATTTTTTGGGTGCCCTATTTTGAGACAAAGCCATATGGGAAATGCTTGGGAAATGGTTGGATTCATATTCACATGGGGCCTGTTGGGTTTGCATATAGGAAAATATGTTTTGGTACTGGTCCTTTAATTTGATCCTTATATATACTAATGTTGGGAAACGGTTTGGGACATTAATGTTGGTAAATGGTATGTTTTAACGTGAACATGATGATATATAAGCTGCATTATCCATTTGGTGGTTTAAACAATGTTTCCATTCCCCACACTAAAAGTAAGATCATGATCACTACTGACTAGCGTGATAGACCCAATAATAAACCGAACCAACCATTGGGGATGATATTTACCAGCCGTTTATAGCAATATTGGGGATCTCTTTATTTTTGGGTTTGCCACATTAGTCTTTTTCAGGTTGAAACCACCAATCAGAGGTTTTCTTCCATTGATTGCATGACACCAATGGATGTTCCATGGATATCTTCAAGGCCTCGATAGCAACGTTTTCACTATTGTTTTTGTCGGTTGAAGGGAAAATTCCAACCCAGTGAGATAAGAATTAAGTACTATAGAATGTTGGCATAGCCATTTTCAGACACACAATATTTTTTTTGATTATACCCTCTGGTTATTTAACATAGCCATGGAAAATGGCCCAGTTATAGATGGTTTACCTATTAAAAATGGCGACCCTCCATGGCTGTGTTAAACAACCAGATGGTCTTTGTTCTTGGTGATCACGATTTATTTCCGGGACGATGATTGAATCCGAGGAAACCCAGGTATTTTCAATGCGCGAGGAAACCCTAAACATTTCTATTGCCTTCCTGTAAACGAACATAGATGTGGAGATATCCCACCCTACTTGCGGATCATTTTCCTAGGAAAACAATGTTTTTTTCTCACATCTATGTCAGTTTACCCCAGGGCAAGTTGCCAACCTCAAAGAAATGTCCACAACTTGGGTGGTTTTCCCGTGATACATTTGTTGTCCCATGTGGGCCATCAGATTAAGCTGCCCAGTTTGAGGAGTGCCCACCAAGCAGTCATGAAATACTAGTGAAAATGCTTCCCACATGTATTATATAATGAAAGAAAGGTTTCACGAAATTCATGAAACTACAACCATATATTTCATCAGCCCTGACTTCTGCATTTCTGTTTAGTTTGGATCGTCCCAGGGATCGTAGCTAGGTCAACAAACCCCAATAAATAAAACAAGCACAAGTGGAGGGCATATTATTTCATATATCAGGTGGTAACCGTGGTAACCGAATGGTCACCCATCCATCATTTATCCAATCTGGATATCCCATTTATTTCTGCCCGCAGGCCTAGAACTGCTGGTAGATGGGAGTGTGCGCGGGCATTTGCCTGAACTTCGGGACCGGGCCCCTGGGAAAAATGCCGTTATCCCCCGGTTTACTACATAGCTAAGGTGGTTTTCAAGAAGGTATGCCAAATTCAATTATGATAAGAGGGTTACATAACCATGAGAAATAGTGGAGAGAACATCTAAACCCGGGATCAACCCTCAACAGTTTGTCTATGGTATTTTGGTCATGGATTTTAGAATATATTTGGTTATAATGTCATAAATTGTATCAATAGCTGGATGGGTTTATGAGCCAACCTGCAACTGGTGGGCAATTGTGGGAATGCAGGAGTTTTTGTTTGGGTGCGTTTTCGCCTCCATGCATAGAGACAGCCGCGATATGTCGGGTATGGTCATATGGCATTCTACTTTCCAACAACCCAAACGGTCAATGGAACAATTCCCAACCCAAGCAGTTGATAACAGTTGCTTGTCACCATGGGATTTACCTCTGACATCCTCTGACAATGTTTCTGTACCGATAAAGTTGAATTTAAATAGAAGTGAGGGTTGTCAGTGTTTTTAACCTCTTCACCTCCGACCAGTGGTGATATTTTTTGAATACGTTATGGTAATAGGCACTTTCCATGGCTATATATGGTTATTTTGAATTACTGGGGAGTATTGACAGTTTTAGACTACATGTTGCAACAAACAGCCACAATCTATATATGGGCTTGTAGCAAGCACATTAATAAATTTTGTCGCAAAATGTGTTCATCATTCTTTGTGCCACATAACACCATCAGCTTCATCCAGGTTTGCCTTAAACTACGATACCCTACATCCATCTAAATCCAAGATCCGGTAATCCAATGTTTAGTCATTCCCTGTTAAAGAACCATTGCGGAAGGATTTGGAAGGTATACCCCATTTTCAGCCAAACCTATTCTCAATTTTATCCACATCGAGCCCAAAGAGGGGTGTTTCAGCACCTCCCTGTCGTTATCCCTTATACAAAACCTGTTTGCAACTATGCTTATCATCGAGGTACCGGTCAGCCATGGGTACCAACCGGTTATCCTCATGATGATGGATATTAATGTGTCCTACCAGCCCCCGTTTCGTGTCAGCTAGTAGCTGACGAGAACCCCGCTTATGTCCCACTGACTGCCATGAACTTCCATCATTTTCTGAAATTCCAATTGGTCGGTCACATTCTCATGTTGTGAAAATTTAGAGCTGTAATAAGACTTGTCATGCTAACAGCATCTAACGGCTCACATTGCCCGTTTCGCCCAAATCTCATTCTATGAACCCAAAACTAGCATCACTTTGCGTCCCCTAACTTTTCCTGGCCAAACTCCATATTTGGATCATCGGATGCCATGGCCATGTTGCCTTGGCGTCAGGAGCTCCATCTGACGGAGAACCCCTTGAGCGACTGCAGCGTTTCGCTCTTCCTGCGCGCGAAGTCGGAGGGCGCCTTCCAGCGTCTGACGCACCTGGGGTTGGAGGGGACCCGCACCAGTGCCTTGGTTGTAGCACCCCAAAAAAGACTAAAGAAGAGATACACGCGAAAATTAAGGCGAAATTCGGATCAATCACGAAATATCGAGATTGAATCACTTCGAACTACTAAATCTACTAAATCAGTAAAGTTAGTACCTGACAGATTGATGGGGAGGTCCTAAAGCTCCAATAGATTCCCCATCTTGTGGAACGGAAAGGATCTCCAATCGAACGTTTGCGGTTGACCAGGCACATGGCACCAAATAGTTTACTATTAATCCCAATAGTCATACAATGTTTTATTTTTATTATTATACCATTAGTTGATGAGTCATAAACCCCCATTGACCTGGATAACGAACCAAGTTTCTTGGTAAAACATTTAATCAATTCTAGAATGTAATATACTATGACCCTAGGGTAGGCTAACACACACACACATATATATATATAGATATGGAAAGCCATGGTTTCCCTGGGGAAATGATCTATAAATAGTGGGTTCTCCCACATCTAGGTTAGTTTACGGGAGGGTGTATATACAAACAAACAAACATACATACATACATACATACATACATACATACAAACATACAAACATACAAACATACACACATACAAACACACATACATACCTACATACGTACGTACGTGCGTACGTACCTACATACATACATACATACATACAAACATACATACTTATACATGCATACATGCATACATGCATGCATGCATACATACAAATCACTATGTTGATGAATTGTCTTTCTGGAACTGCCACTGGCTAGATATCTCCCGGATGTTTACTTGATTAATGAATGCAATCAATTCCCAGTTTGCATAGGCCTACTTGTTTCCTCCGGCAAGTGAGTGTGTGTAAGGCGTCGAACATGTGGATTCAATCATGACAACTTGGAATTTTGCTTAACCACTCAAAATCAAATTGCAGGTTCACTAAAATCATATATTCGTATTTCAATTTGTTGGACTTCTTCACCCCCCGGCCCTCCGAAAATTTAACATAGCTTTGGAAAATGCTGCATTTATAGACAAATTACCTATCAAATATGGTGATGCGTCATAGGGATGTTAGAATAATACCAGAGGGTAGCGGATTAGAATGTAGTTGAAATGACATGTTTCCATCAATTTCTTGGATTTTCCATGTTTTTTCCCAGGGGCCCATCCGCCTTTGTTCAAGGTGCCCGGGTGCGACGTGCCGTCCTGGAGGCCTTAGAGAGACCGGAGGATGGCTGAGAAAAACGGTCCTGCACGGCGTCGCGGATGGGTCCCACGGATCGAAAAAATTGGGAATTCAGCAGGGGTTCAGCTGCGAAATTTAGCTGCTGAATGAGGACTTTTTCCGGTATGTCATGAGCTCCTGGCACTGGTGGTCATGAATTTTGGAAATCAACCATGACTCTGATCTGCATGTGTTTTTTTGCTGAGTGGGTGATTTGGCTTACATTCCGAATGGGATATCCACTACGACTGGGGAATCGAAAAAGGGAATGGTGTTATTTTATTTTGGTTGTTCCTTAAGAAATTCTTCATGTGAGCAGTGGCTGAACCCATGTTGGTTGATGATTATATGAATTATACTACCCTTTCAATATTGTTGATGATCAGAATCCATGAGCTGGGAATGCCTATTGCTTCTTTTAGATGATTATAATCCATTCAAGCCATGAAACTGGGAACCCCATCATTTCTACGTCTATTAGCCACCATGGTCCCGTTCTTTTGTTTCATCAACTATCAACCGTTAGCTTTCCCCACTAGGAAAATTGGAGGATCACCCGTTAGCTGCTCGGTTGGCCGAGGCCGAGGCAGAGGAGAGTGCAGGCGCTGGAAACATGTTATTTTTCTAAACCATGGGAAAACCATGGGAAAATGTGAGGGAAATATGGGAAATCCCTCAGAAATGGAGGTTGACATGGGAAAATCAGCTAATATCAGCTATAAATAGTGGGTGTTCCAGCAAGCCACGATTTATCGAGGATAGATTTTAGGAACATGAAAACATGCTTGGCATTTGGGCCATGTCAATTCCCAGAACTGGACTTGAGAAGCTGACAACACAAATTCTTCCAACATGATGTCTGTCCCGCAAAAAGGATAGAACAAGCTGCTGGGGTTTAATCAACCCATCCGTATATACCAATATAGTGCATTATAGTGCCCTATTATATCTAGGATAATCTACTATTATCACTATATTTTAAAAAATACTATACTGTATATACTAATAAATAGAAGAAGCATCCCTTGTACATTTTTTGTTGAAGCCTCTTGGTACGAGCCATTGACCGGACAAACCTTTGTTGGATTGGATGGGTTTCACCACTAGCAACTGCAGAAGTCAGCCTCAAGTGGGAAGATGGAGCTCAAATTGAAAAAATCAATCCATTGAAATAGATTGAAATATACATCCATATATATATACATATGATATTGATGGTTGATATATGAGCACATCACTCCATATCCAATCAAACAGTGTTGCGACTGAGCCATATTTATTTCATGAAGTGTCATTTAGATATAGCGTTTGTTACCCAAACCTGGCTAGCTGGAAAATATTCCATGTATATAATTCCTATGATTTTCCTTGATTTGTTCCATGTGTTGCCCATTTAGTTTGGGGATTTCCCAGCCAGCCATGCTTGATAGCGCTCTGATATTCTGATTTAATCCAGTTATATCCCATTAAAATCCTATTAGCATCTCTTTGAATTCCCCTTAGCATCCCATGAAAATGTGATCAACATATATTTTCATATCATGAATATTCCCTAAAACCCCGGTAGAATCCCATGAACATGTCATTTAAATCCTCTTAAATTCCATTAAAGTCCCTTTAATGTGTCTTTTCTTTACCACTTTATGGCTGTACCACCCCCCTTGCCACATGCCATCCACGTGCCATCCACGTGCCGCACGGTAGGTGAGGAGCGTGAGGGTCGGGGGCAGACAGAGCCAGCGGAAGAGGAGGAGGAGGCGTGGCTTAAAAAACCAATGGTAGATATTGGTAGTCATTGTAATATGGTATATATTTGATACTGTATGTGATCGTAGTATCATTTTAATTATTGGTATGGTATATAACCACTAATACTATATTATAATTGATGGTATACCATTAATATGGTTGGTTAATGATGACATATTATAATATGGTATAACCCCCAATACTCTTGAATATGATATGATTAGTAATAATATAGTGATAATAGGTATTAGTATAGAGTGGTTATATGGCAATTATAAATTATATTGTGATTACATAGTGATATGGTGTTTTTTATTAGTGATAATCGTTATTAACAGCGATCATAACCACTTGTGATTTTGAATTTTAGTTATTCATTATAGTGAATTAGTGTCATTTATAATAACCATTATCATTATTACCTTATGTCTATGTATTTAATAGTGATTAACAGTAGTTGTATAGCGATGATGGTGGCAATGGACAACTCCTAGAAATCGATTGTTTCCATGGGAGAATCATCGACAAAAAGGCGCGATTTTCTTCCTTGCCATGTTTGATTACCAGGTCGGGTTTGCATCAGAATCAGGATGGTACTGACGATATGAACCAATGATAGTGACAATGCGGTTTTACACGTTGGTATAACTGGTTGGTGCTTTGGAACATGGCTTTTATTTTTCCATATGTTGGGAACAACCATCCCAACTGACTAATATTTTTCAGAGGGGTTGAAACCACCAACCAGATAACCATGTGTACCCTGCTGTCATTATTGCAGACTTGAGTGGAATTTCCACCAGTTACAGATAATGTCCATTTGCCAGGCAAGATTAGTGCCTACAATCATTGCATCCCCAGAGTTCCAAGAACATGTTGACTCATCGAGATTCTAACCGACTATTGAAAACATTCACAGTATATTTACTGTAAAACCAATCTTTCCGGATTTTACATGACGGTAGCTAGTATGATGGGCTGGGTTGGTTAAATAATGAAGAGAAACCTCAACATTCCGGCGGTTTTGAAGCTCTTTTCCCTTGGACTCACAGGCCGAAAAGCCTGAAGACGAAGGTGGCGGGAGCTGGGGTCAGAATTGTGTTTGTTTTCCAAGCACATTGCAAGGCAACCATCATTACTTGGGTTTGCTGAAAATCATATGTTTTCCCACTGGAAAATCCATTAATTCCTTGGGGAATCTTCAGTGTTTTTTTTGGGGGTCCTTCAGCGAATCCAAGGTTATAATATAACCCATTTGAATTGAACTCCCATTAGGCGACTTACCCGGATGATTGACGAGTCGAGTTACGATCCGTGGGGGGTGATGTTCCAAGTAAACACTAGGTCGTGCCACATTGTTTTGTGCCAACTAGTAGTTCACCACCATAAACCTAGCAATTGACATACAGTAGTTGCAGACCAACGTAGCTAAGGAAGCGTGGCACCATGTTGAGGGGTTAGTTTTATGATTATTATGTGGAATGTTGGGATATTATATGGGATAATTATATGGATATTATGTGGCATATCCTTAGGTTATGTTGACTCCTTATACTGGGATTTTATATGGATATATCATTTACGACTGAGAGACATGTTCTTTGAGATAGAACCACTATGAACCAACTACTAGCTGCGAATGATATGTGCCAATGTTATCGACGTTTGGGATCTGCATGGCGCTATTGAACGGGTATAATATCAAAATTACAAGCCACTTATAAACGAATCAATGGCATTATGGGCCAAGTACATCTAGATTCTAGATATTTATTTGTATACATACTAACTGATTGCAAACAATGGACTTTGCTTTTATTTGTATTTGGAAGCACCCCCACATGAAATTCAATCCAATGTTCAAAAGGAGGGATCCTGCCTGGCATTTGGCGGTGGTTCATTGTTCGTTGACAGCCGCTGCTGTTTGGCTAGCAGCCGCAGCGGCTGACATGGAAAGGAGTTGATGTATGGGCAGAAGCGTATCAGATCTGACACCTTCCAAACATCGAACAGTGAGCACCAGCTCCGAGTCTTCACCCACTGAGCAGCAAGGAGGGGATACCCGGATACCTTGACCCCGTTGGGGATCCCTTCCCAATGCTGGGCAAGAACATTGTGAATCTGAACTGCCGAAAGACATTTACCATTTGTTTAAGATAGCTATGGAACAT